ACAAGCAGCTCAGTCCAGCAGGGGGCAGCGTGGGACACACCATGCTCCAGAGAGATGGTCCAGCTCCTGCAGCTCAGCGTGTCCCGTGCTGCCCCCCCCGCTGGTCTCTGCTAGTTTTGGTTTGTACAGGTTCAAGGACCAGCTGATATACTGCCTGTCTGAAGCCCTTAGCGTGAAAGACTCCAGGTAAACCACATTAGCTGTGAATGGGACCGGAACCAGCTTGTCCTACAGTCAGACCTTCAAAAATCATGCTATTCAGTGACCTGTAAGACGCTTAAAACAATCTGGGAGAGGGTAAGCTGCAGCCCTGTTATGTTAACCGACACAACTCATCCCTGGGTCATATCCAAGCAAATATCATGCACAAACACATTTATATGTTAACCCCTTCAGACCCAGTGTCCATTAGAATGGACATGACCTGTTTTTTTTCTGCAATCCAATAAAAATGCGTGCTTTCACAATTTGAACAATGCCAGAGGCACCGATTGGTCCCTGAGCAACCAATCACCCCTAACAATCTGAGAGCGCTTCAGGAATCACACTACACATTTAGCCCTTTTGTACATTGGGCTAAATAGCTTACCAACAGCCATCTTGCAGTTAGTTCCTTAACTGCCATTTAGTGGTAATAATGGTTACTGTGATATAACAGGCTAATTAAATATGCTCTCATATGTGTGTCCTTATCAGAGGTGAGGGAAAAATGGAAGTGCTGTGAAATGGAATTATTTTACAGCATCCCTGTTCATGTGATCCGTTTGGCACAGGAAATCCATAGTATTTAGTCATTATCGGTACTGCCTGCTCATAACAGGTCCCCCTCCCCCCTCCCCCCTTTCAGGAAAATGTCTCTCGGGACTGTGGCTGGGGACACAATGGGGAGGCAGTGACTATGACGTCAGGCACTAGGAAAGAAGGGATTTAAGCGCAAGTGTGCCTCTGTATACATATGCATCAAGTCATTTCCTGGTAAGACAAAAAAAAAAACTGCCCCACTGGGGAAAAAAAGGTTGTCAAACACATCCACAGAAGACAGATAAGAGGTGAACAGTGGAAAAGGGAAAAAAAAAATCTATGTGCAAATTCTCCAGCTGAAGTAAGACTTTTGGCCAGGAAAAAGAATGTAAACAGTGGAACACCGGGCACTCAGACGTATTCCAAAAAAAGCTTTTCCGAAGGGTATTCCAAAGAGGATCCTGAAGGGTATTCCGGAGGAGGTATTCCAAAAGGTATTCCAAGCTAGCAGGCTGATGTCATGTTTGCATTTTGGTCTCATGCGCAGGTGGAGCGCCGCACTGGGACAGACACTGCAGCTGACACTGCGCAGGACAGCCGTAGGACGGCCCAACCCTGCGGGCGAGGGGCTCACTCAGACCTCCATGACTGCGGGGGCAGCGGAGAACGAGCTGCGGAAACAAACCGGCCCTCTGTTCCACTGCTTGGACGCAACAAGAACCAAAATTCCGCAGGAAAAAAGGTGCAGTGCGACAGGTGTGTTATGCCACATGGAGACAGCAGAGGGCAGTATGCTGATTACACAGACCACGCCTGGCAAGGTAGCAGGTTTTAGGAAAGACCGTCTTGTGACACCCTTGAGAAAGCGCGTTTTTCTGGCAGAATGTCCAGAATTGGGAAACGTATAAATCACTTTGGATAAAATAATCAGTTAATCTGTGAAATCATAACAACAACACTGGGAGTACGATCCAGAGCTGACGTCCCGGGAGAGGGATTCGGATTTTATCGGTCACGTCTTCCCCCTCCCTCACAGAGCCAACGCTGCGCCGTAACGCCTGCGGCTCCAGGTTTCCACAGCAGCCGTGCAGAGCCAGCCTCTCTCTCCCAACTCCAGTCTCTGCCTTTGCCTGATGAGGACACTGTATCTGGGAAAAGAAATCCCCTCCCCCCCCCCCGGGCCGCCCCTTCACATTAAGGTGAGGTGCAACCCTCAGAAGACCCCAGACTGTGGACACTTTGTCTAAAAGCGGACATATTAGCTCATTCTTGGCCTTCCATTCTGCAACCCCCCCCCCAAGTTTACAGGAATGATCTGGCCCACGTCTTCATCCCTCTCTCCCTCTCTCTCTCACTCGCCCGCTGGCTCAGAACCATTCGATCTGCGTGGCGGGTTACAGAGCCACGCTAATCGAACCCAAATGCGTCAGGCGCTGCCTCTCAAACATCTTGAAAATGCCTCCCACAGGATCGGATTCCTCCCCTCTCCCTCACGCTCACGGAGAGAGCAGGACACGAGCGCAGGAATCGCAGCACCGCGACCCGAGCTCCCTTAGTCCAACCAGCTCCCATATTTACAGTATCATATTTTCTGAGCTCAGCAATTTAGCTATCAGATGCAGAAGTCCATCTGGCTATATACTGAAATGTAAGGGGGCTTTTTGGGAGGGTGGTCGTATACCCCTGCATCACCTGAACTGCCAGAGGCATTCTGGGAAAAGTGACACATTGGGTTCTTGGGTTCTAACCTGGTGACAGGACCTAAGCTGGGCACACTGTAGTGACCAGAAGCCGCACTGCATTTCCACAGGAAGCCCCCCATCGGGGGGCCACGCCCCTCTATCTTTGTTTACCCAGCTGTGGCTGCTGACCTGTCCTCCTCCGTAGCAGTGACACGCCATACATTCTCCCAGCACCTCCCCCCACTCTGTGTCATGGATCCCGCTTGGAGGTGGGCGAAGTAAATCAGCTGTGTGGGGTCCGGCTGGGACGGGTCACCAACCTGCCGTCCTGGTGAGTCTTGGGGCACCGAACCCACACCATGCTGGGCCTTACCCTTCTGGGGCAGATCGGCACGGCTGACTCTCCCGGCTACATTTCCACCACATGAAAATGATTGATCGGCCACATGTTTTTAAATCATCTGATATCACGGAGGTCAGAGTCTGTACCAGGCGGCACACACTCTCACACACTCAGTCACGCACTCGTCACTGCACCTAACTGCATGTTTATGGACTTTGGGGTGGGAGACCAGAGCACCCAGAAGAAACCAAAACCCAAACCTAAACACAGAGAACATGCAAAGTCCACACACACAGAACCAAGAGGTGTGAAGAATGTGATGCAGTAAGACAGCACACTGCTGAACCAGACCCTAACTCCTGAAGTAGGAGACCCAGTCCAAGAGATACATCACTGTCTCCACTGCACCTTTATTTGGCCTATATTGTAACCAAAACAAAGTGTGTACTAGTCCAGTGCAACATGTGCCATCAGACAGCCCAATGCAGTGAGTGTTGTCAGACGGCCCAGTGTAGTACAGTATGTGCAGTCAAATGGCCCAGTGCAGTGCGTACTGGGTCAGTGGCAGTACGTCTAGTCAAACGACCCACTGCAGTATATGTCAGACAGCCCAGTGCAGAGCGTACTGACCCAGTTAAGTAAAGCTGTCAAATGGCCCAGTGCCATGCGTGCCCTCAGAAGGCCCAGTGCAGTGTATGTAGGACCTGTAAGAACTGCCTCTGATTAGAAGTCTCCCCTTGGTTTGCTGGCTCTACTGCACATACAGAGGTCTGGAGCTCAGATCATAACTCCCGCCCCCCCCACTCAATGAACCAGATGCCAAGTCCACTCCACCCCCAGACTGAAAGCTGAAAAAGTGAAGCGANGAAGTCTCCCCTTGGTTTGCTGGCTCTACTGCACATACAGAGGTCTGGAGCTCAGATCATAACTCCCGCCCCCCCCACTCAATGAACCAGATGCCCCCCCCTCCCCACCCCCAGACTGAAAGCTGAAAAAGTGAAGCGAGGAGACTGCAAGATTTGCCGATAGCTGGCGGCTGTGAGCGTCTGGAGCATCACGGCGCCGCCCCGGTAATGCAGAACGCGTAAACTCACATCGTGGCCAGAGCGACTGCGCTCGCAATATCTGCACGGCCCGCAGGATCTCCGGGGCTCTGCGAGCGAGCATCGTCAGACCCCGTGTGTGGAACACATTCTTTCCGATGGGGGAGTCGCTGTTATTCTCATCACTCTGAGGAGTATCGTGGGGGGGGGGGAGGCGGGCACAGGTCACCATAGCAACCCCGCCTTGTTTATCAGGCAAGGTGACCTGCTCACTGTCATCACACACACAATCCTCACACAGCCCTTGCAGGACTTCCACAGGTGACACTGAGGCTGATGGGCTGCTGTTGTCCCAAACACGTGGCACCCTGCTGTACACCCCAGCCCCAAACTCAGAGGCACGGTGGGACACTGTGCTCCATCTTGCTCATTTCGACTAGATGCATCAATAACCACTATTTATCAGCATTGAAAGCAATATAATGACTGGATCGTAATGTATATATTATGGACAATTAGTGCTTATTCAAATGCGCAGAATGAGCATCTTAAAAGCACAACACAGGCTGAATCAGTGGGTAGGCCTCACACCGTGTAGCGTGGTGTTTACACGTTCACAGGGTAAGAGGTTATGGGATTTGGATCGACACACTGGCTTTCGTCTTTCTGCGAGAGGTCTCCAGCGCCGCTCCAGTAGGGCTGCTGGACAGAGTGGTCTTTGTCTAAAAGCTGTGCTGAGCCCACGGTTCGAAAGCATCTCAGTTTTCTGGCGGGAGTTCTAGCTCGTCTTGAAGCCTCTGCAGGATCACGCCTCGCTGTTTTGATAATACTTTGTGATAATTCTGCTAATATTCTGGAAACATACACCTCTGTATAACAAAAAGTTACCTGCAGCTACGGGAAAAAAAACTACAGATATAAATAGTCGTAAATCATAATGAGCAAGAAAACTCATAGCTGCACATATAAATAACGATCATTTTCCATTTGCTAGACCCTGGACTGTTTTATCACTATATATATTGATATATATCTGTAATATTCTCAGTATTATAACTGTTAACTGTTAAGCTCACAGATGCCCTCTGGGTATTGACTTCCTATTAAAACTGGTCTAGAGCCATTTCCTTCCCAGGATTTGTCCTATTTAAATAGCTGGACACCAGCTGATGCAAGGGTCACATGACTTACTGTCAGGGCCCCCGATGTAGACCTCAGGTGCAGAGGGCGGAGCCTTGATCTCTGTGTAGCTGGGTGGGACGCTGGGGGTCACGTGTACATTGTTTTCAGCCACCTTGTTCAGAGCCGAAACCTCTGGAGTTTTGGTGATGTGGATTTCGGACCTCCGGGTCAGCGGTTCCAGGGGACCTGGTGCCTCAGGTTTCCTGTGGACCAGCTCGGGGATCCTGGCAGCTGAAGGGGGCGGATCGGCTCTCCTGGGAGGCGGGGCCTCCTGAGGCCTGCTGAAGATAAGCTCCGCCCTTCTCTGTGCTAGCTCGGGGGCCTTGCCCAGGGCGGGGGCCTCCGGCCTCTTCAGGCCGAAGCGGGAGATGCCGGGGCTGGGGGAGCTGTCCACCTGTTTGGAGGATATGTCGATGGAGATCTCTGTGCGCCGGGGGACGGGCTCGGGGGCACGGCCCCCTGTCAGCTCCATGCGGCGCAGGCTGATCTTGGGGGAACGCTGGTTGGGCACCTCCGAGGGCACCTTCTGGCTGAAATCGGAATTGCGGCTTCCCAGTTCGAGGAAGCGGGGGCCGGAGGGGGTGCCGGCCGTCCGCAGGTGCGTGTTCACCGTTCTGCGGGCGAGGGGAGAGGAATGTGCCGACTGGTCCACCTCTTCCACCTCAAAGGACCTCTTCAGAGCTGCAGGACAGAGCAGTAGTTAGAGCCAAAATTTATCAGGCATTTAAAAATAAAATTAAATTCAATAGAAACAAAGGAATGAGATAATGGACCATGTGGGGTGTCGTATCTTTCATAATGAAATGAGCATTCTTATTTTAAGGTTCTAAAAAAAAATGTACATTTAGAACATCATTCAGGGTCTCTGACACTGAAATACAAATTATATCAAAAAAAACTTAAGAAGCAAATATCCAGAACAGGATAAGAATAAATGAGAAAAAGCTTTCGATTGATACCAGATGCTACCACAGCTTGACATTAATTGACCCTGCATCTTCACGTTAAGAAGCATAATGTCAGTTCCTCTATCAGGCTTGAACCAGCAACCTTCCAGTCTGTTCTGGTCTCCCAGTCGCTGTAACTCCCCTCTGTCAGCCTTTATGGGGGCCCGTCTCTCTTCTCTTTTTCCACACCGGCTGCCAAATGTTAAAATCAAGCCACGATCCGCATCCATGAGGATGAACGTAAACTCCGCTTTACGAACTCGGCATTCACCCGCGTCCCGCTGGGCGTCCGTGCCAGAGAGGCCATTTTACGCCCCGTGCTGTGAGCGAGAGACACGCATTTCCCCAACTCTGCTGGGACGATCCCATTAATAATGGCACAGCTGCCTCCGCAGTCGCCCACAGAGCCCAACGAGCTGCTCCGGCGACAGAGGAAAGGAAACAAAGTGAGCGGGCGGCAGGAAGACTTGCCTGTCATCAGCGTTTACGGATAACCCTTCCCGAGGAAGGAACTATCCAAAACTGCCAGCAAAAGCCACAAATCAGTTTGTTTTTTTGTTTTTTTTTTGGGGGGGAGGGGGCAATTTACATCGTGTTCACGGGACTCTGAGGGTCAGGACAGGCATATATGACTGGAAACCATGTGGCATTCCGTAGCAGCCCAGGATGCCAGGTTCAAGTTTGTAAATCTGATTCAGAATCAGATCACCGGGAAATCATCCCGACGCATCCAAATGACCCTGCCGTAAAATCAATCAGGGTCTGTATAACCACCCCCCTCCACATGAAACCTTAAATCAGATTAATCAAAACTACTCATCAGCCTCTCAAATGGCACCAGGAAAAGCCCCGAGCTTGGTGTGAAATTCATGTATTCCGGGGGGGATGCAAATAGGCTGGGGGATCCATCTCAGCTGAGCTCACCACTGCTGTGACTCATCTGCGAGTCACAGGTGAGCAGATGAGGCCTTTTCCTGTGCTCCCCAAAGGCACTTTTAGAGGAAACATGCCTCGCTGTGATTCGCAGGAGAGTCAGAGCGGCGCCTGCAATTTCTGATGGCAAATGGAGATGTCGCAGGCGACACAATTTAATACAGAATCCAAATTCTGTTTTTCAAAGAAAAGCAAAGAAATAAAACATCTGACCTTAACATCATAAAGACATTTGAAGTTATATTACACTCTGTTTCTTTAATTACTGAACATTTTACCCCATGCGAAAAAGAATCAGCAAGTCTGCGGGTGACGATAAACAGCCCCCACAAAAGTGTTACTAAAGCCATGTGTGTGGGGGCACCCTGCCCCCCCCCCCCCCCCAAACATCTTCTAAACTCATTTCAGTTAAAGTCCATCCAGGGCTGAATGCACTGGCCAAAATGCCACGAGACAGCTTCTGCTTCCGCTGGCACGGCACTGTGAGGGAATCGTACTAAAATGGCACTAACGTTATAATCAGAACCGTTCCAGGCAGGATCCACAGGGGATTTTGCATGTTTCTCATCGCGACGTTCCCTGTCAGACCTCTCCTAACAAAAATGGCACCAACTCATACAAAACATCTAACATACTGACCTCCCAAGATTTCAGGCTGCTGGGGTGGAGCTTGGTTAGGCTCCGTTTTGGAGCCCCCATGACAGTCCCCGGTCACGACCCATCAGCAAGAGAGACGGATAGCGGGGGACTCGTTACTGGCGGTAAGCGATCGCTCCAGCCCACATAGGTCACACAGAGAACCCACATCTGGCGGTGACTCTGCGGCTCTGACTCGCACACTCTGTGCTTTTTAAAAGGACTTCCTGGCCCGAGACAGCAGTGTGATCCAATGCCATTCCGGTGCTCCAGCTAGGTACCCACATGTCCATTCAGAATGTTCGGCTTTCGGGGTCATCGCAAACCCAGCGTCGTCTTTAAGGTGGAGAGGATGCCGACCCACACAGAACAGCCCCTCCTCCGCCTGTGTCCCTGGAGCAGTCAGCATAAGCCGCCCCATTTGTCTTCTAGCGAAGCGCTGACGCGCCAGTTTTCCTCAAGCGAAATGCTTACTGATTTGTTTTTCAGATGGCCAATTTGTTCCCAGCTTAAATTTTAACTAGTTAAACATCTAAATGACAATACCATGGTGGAAAATCTGTGACTATTCTGCCCAGATCAATGTAGGGTCAGTGTGTGGCTCAGTTAGGCGGCTGTGCCTGTGATCGGAAGGATGTCGGTTCAAATCCCGGGGGCCGGCGGACTGATGCCACTGATAAGCCCTTAACTTCAATTGAAAAACAAAGCTCACTCGGTCCATGGGATATGTTTGTGAGAATTTGTCCACTTAGTGAGTTTTGGAAATTTAATGCAAGTTCTTCATTGGATTAAATGAGGACTGAGTGAGTCAGTGAAGCCTGACCTTAGGTCACTGACGGTCTCAAATCAAAAACAGCAAATAATGGATAATTTTAGAAATTTGTTCTTCAATCACTGCAGGGGCACCAGGCACTGAAGACAATTTCCCCTTAAACTATCTGTGATCTTTTCTGTCCTCATGTTTTAGAGTCCAGACCAGTTCAGTATCTGATGTATGACCTGGGGAATTCAGGCACCACATTAACCTGCTTTCCGACATTAGTAATCTAAAAAATGTTGATACAGGAGCTTCTGTAAATGGTTTCACTTTAAAGAGCTTTAAAGAGCTGGGCTCCCTGAAGCTTGATATCAAATGCTGAGAAAATGACTTTCAAGTGCCGGTGATTTTATCAGATTCATCCCAGACTGTGAAAGTGGTTCCCGTTTGTCATTGACTGTTCAAATCCTCTTTTTCCTCATTTTTGGTTTATTTTACCTGGCAAAACAGCAGACTGTTTTAAGACTCATTACCATAAATAAATGAGCAAACTTGTCCTTAGCAAATTACGTCACAAAAATCCATATTATTAGCCTGCAATACGGACTATTAACATAATTTCATGATATCCCCCCCCCCCTGTATTGCACTTATGACCCCTTTTTGCATCACGGTCCCACCGTTCTGGAACCATGGTTGTACGTGGTAATGTCCTGCTGTCGAAATGTCCCATTGGTCCATGATTTATCTCAGAAGGAAGGGCTTAATGATCCTGCGTGAGCCGGCAGGATTTGCGAACACGCTTAGCGCCCAGCTGCTGCAAGATCAATGCACCACTGTATTACATGGCAAGCAGGGAGGGAGCGTGCTCGAGGCGGCGCCATACCACTGCATGCCTCGCATTCTTGGCCGGAAGCACGTCTCTCTGCTCACTGTTAAACCCCCCCCCCCCCTCCTCAACTGCCATCCACCAACGCAGCAGGACAAAGCGATCTGCAGCAGACATTCTGGAACTTTCTAGATGAACGGTCGGGATTTAAACCTCCACATGCTTCTCTGAGGTCGATCAGGCAGCTGAGGCAGATCATGCAACAGCAAGTGTGGGTGGCAACTAAGGACACCTCCACTCCAGTGATCATAAAAGCCCCTTTCAGATATTGTCTTCAGACCCCCCCCCCATGCCTCCCAATATCAGCCTATCAACATCCAGCTACAAGAGGGGACAGGGTGAGGTTCACTCTCGGAGCCCCTAGGCACAGCTGTAATGAAATTACTATCAGCGGAGCAACGCATTTACAAATTCCAAGCAGACCTAACTGAACTCTCCATATCACCAAGTCTTAGACCATCAAAAAAAAGTCTGAAGAGATGCCAGTGGTTTATTCACAGAACACACACCTATGGATATGACTGTCTATGACATCATAATCACACCATTGTCACATTCCATGAAGCGCATTAAATGCATCCCTCCACACGCCGCTACCTCCTCGCCGGCATCAGATGCCCCCGTGCATCAGTGCCTGGCAGCTCCCCCGCAGACCTTCTGGGGGCCGCGGTGTCACATCCCCAGAGCGGGGCCCGGACGTGGGGCGGCAGGGGGCGGCGGAAGCGAGGCTCTCTCAGGCTCCTGTGCTTGAAGCCCAAACACCTAAGACTTCTTATACTCTGGGTTTGCATGTGTGGAGGCAGGCTGCTCATTTTATTATTAGAATCATATTCTCAGAACAGCTGAGGGAAAGCGCACAAAACAAGTATCAAAAATCCCCTAGTTCTTCAAAGCCGTATCACTGAAGCTAACGTGCTAATATGTACGTATCTGCAACCAAGCTGCTCTTCATTGATTCACTTAATGATCAGCCTTTAACTGTCTATTCATTCAGTATTATCTGGGTAGTGAATTCATGACAAATGCCAGGAAAAACGTCTCATTACAGGGGAACAATGAATGATATGTACAATCCAAACACACATATTCAAACGTTAGAGGAGACAGCGCTTCCCAAGAGTCAGCATACATTCAGCATTGGAACCATAAGCTGTGATAAACACGTCAGAGGAATGTCAGTGCAGTGCCAGAGCCTTCTCATTTAACACACACAATATGTTTTTAGTTCAGTTAGATTGCTTTGTACACAACACACTTTCTAACCTGAACACAAAGCACTTAACTCCTAAATCAATGTGTGAGTATGATTCTAACAGTGAGGCTCTTCATTTCAGGATCTTGTTCATAGGGCCACAAGAATGATTCCTGGTCTTAGAGGAATGTCATACGAGGAAAGGTTAGTTGAGCTAAATCTGTTCAGCCTCAAGCAAAGGAGACTGAGGGGGGACATGATCCAGGTCTATAAGATTCTAACAGGTTTGGATGCTGTTCAACCGAATAGTTACTTCAGCATTAGTTC